TTGAAATTTAGCTGTGTATACCAAATTTCATTCATTTATCACAACGCGATTGAGAGATATTGCAAAAAAATGATTTCCATTCCTCCCTCTTCAATGGGTCCCTGTGCCCTTAGGAAGCATTTCCGGACCCATGTTCATATGAACTTTTTTACTTAGTTTTGATCATAGAATCGGCCTGTTCAGGGTTGGCAGCTAATTATGAGACACCCTGTATATACATATTTTAACTGTAATAAATAATGAGCAATCTTTAATAATAATTGTAACAATTTTACGTTAGAAAAATATACGCCCCTGAGCGTAAGACAATGAAGGCTAAACATACACAGAATTTTTATCATGAAACATCTATAATCATCACAAGCATAAGATTACATAGAACAATTAACAACAAAGTACTTAAAGAATGTTACCTGCTAACTAATACCGGTTAAACACTTTAAAATCTTTCATCACTTATATATTTTCATCGTGCACCGATCGTTTTACTTTTCACTCTCCGCGCTGTCCTCGCTTCTACACTATAGGCTTCCTTTCCGAAATCCCCACCTCAGCACTTCTTTTTGTGCTTCCTTCTGCCAATTGTCAATATTACGTTTTCATTATTGTGCAACACCCATGTAACGGGTGACGTTGAAGTTGATAAGATAAGTATGGTTTACCCAATTTTTTTTCCTTTTAAAAAGCTCTCTTTCTTTTAATAAACTTTTATTAGAGAAATTTTTCCCGTTTAAAAGTTATAAGCAATATCGTCCTAAAGAGTCTCAAAAGAAATACCACCTAAAAATCACATTAGCGGTGGAAGGATCAAGTAGTCGTTGGAAAATAATTGAACCAAAAAGAATATGTCAAAACGAAAAAAATGACTACCGGCAGATTACGATAATTTTTTTAAGTAGAATTTTTCTTTGAAAAGAAAGTGTTTCAGGCCGAAAATAATGAATATCTCAGAAACTTCTTGATTTTTTATCTAAAAAAATTTGAGGTTATTTAAGACAGAGAAAAGTATACTTTCACCAAGTTTCGTCAAAATTAAATTATTTTTGCGGAAATGAGATAAAAAAAACTGTTTTTCGCATTTTTCTCGGAAATTTTGAGGTTATGTTAAAAAGTGACTTCTACAAAAGTTGCATGGTCTACAACTTTTGTATTGGATACTTTTTTGTTTGACGTCAACTTTCGCCAGAAATCCCAATGTTACAGTTTTTCATAACTTTTCAACCCCCCAAATCAACCCTCCGCCGCACAGTGGGGCAGAATCCCAAAAAGCTGGCCAAAAGTCAAAATCTTTAAAAATCGATCTGAAATTTGTTACTCGGGGGTTTTTGGGGTCACTGATAACGAATTTGGAGTCAGAATTGCAAAATTCAATGTGGACGATTTAATATAGCCATATCAGAAGTAGAAATATTTTTCAAATAGGGATTAAGAATTAAAAGATTATGAAATACAAAATGTCACATTTATCAAGCATGAAGAAGATGTAAAAATGACAAATGACATATTAAACTATTTATATATTTCGTTAAATATGTATCGAGAGTGATTTATTTGAATCCCGTGCCAAAGTTGAAACAGTTCCAGTTTTTTCATAAAAGAAAAGAATAATCGTCTGATGAAAAATCTTCTTAAGTTGAGATAATTTCGTTTTTATTTGCAATCTTCCCAAGTCTTACATCGTCCAGAGAAGGCGAAATTCATTTTACTCTACATTTTACAAAAACCTATACAAAAAGTTGTTAAGAACTTATAGGCAGCTAATTTTTGTTTTAGTTTACAGATAATAGTTTTGTCTTTTTTGTCCAATAAGTTAAATGACAGAATTATGCAGAATTATTAAACTTTTTTCTTCAAAACTAAATTATTATTTCATTTTATAACGTAAAATTCACATAAGTTTGGTAGCCAATTACTATTTTTGGTAAAAATATTGAGTATTTTAACCTACATATTCATAATCTACGTACATTTATGAGTTGATTCCATTTTGTTACAGATAAATCGGTGAACTCTACGAAATTTTATATTTAAATATTTATGATTTAAAAAACAGGTAGCCAATCCAACAGTAAAAATTACCAAATTAGAAACAATATTTTTTGACTTTAGGCCAGCTTTTTGGGAATCTGCCCCCACTGTGCGCCGCCCCTGCGCACGCATTTATTATTTTTAGGTTTATTATAAGCTTTTTTACCATTTCTACTTATAAAAGTCCAGAGGTAACAATTTTTTTTTCTCCAAGTGTAATTTGGTTGAACTATATGTCATTGTACATAATATTTAGCATCTATAGTGATAAATTCAACTTGCCGAAACAAAAAGTCGCGAAATGGTCATTTCCCAGCTTATTTTCCTGGCCTATGCTACTAATAGGTAGTAGGGATATAAGAACTACGATGTTAAAATAATTGAAATTAATCTTCCTTGCACGTAAGTCATTCAGATTTGTCATTTCATGATTTTAAAACTTTTTTAAAATAAAATATTGCTGATAATAATTCGTTACAGGTAAATAATTTTCTTTAATATATATTATATATCTGCTATATAATGAAAAAATTATATGTATAAAATTACTATTTCAATAAATACAATAGTATTAAGGATAAGGATAAGGTTACAGATACCAATATCGATGAAGCTTTGTGGGATAAATTAGATGACATCGCCACCTTTACGACGAACGTTCGTATTTGCATTGGTGTTAAAGAAATTTTCCCTTCTGAACTGTCGTTTACAGGGAAAATAACGTGCATTTTTTCACCAACAGTATTCCAGACGTACTTCGATCTTTGTTTGTAATCTTCTAATAGCTCATTGGCCCCTAGGGTAGTTTCAGTCATTTCCTTAATTTTAAATTTGTTGAATAGATTCTAAAAATAAAAATAATATTAAAAAAGTATGCCATTTAGAGACTGTTCCATTTTCGATGAGAGTTCAGGATATCTCAGACACCACTCGCGATATGGAAAGATCGATGATGAAAATTCTTGAGCAGGAAAAAATTCGAACCCTCATTTTTTCTCGAATTATAGCACGATATTCATTTCCAACAAGTCCGTTTCTGTGGCTAGATATGAAAACTAAAGTAAAGATTCTCCCGATGAATTTAGTTTTTGCCGGATATCATGATTACGGAGTCAATGACAATGGTCTAGAAAAATAGTGATTTTTTTTCTGCATTAACCGTAATTTTCTAATTGAATCTACTGGTATTTATGAAAAGAAAACTAACTGGATATGTTCCTTCACAAAAAAAAAAACAAAATTAAGTTACTTGTAGTGGCATAGGTGAAAGTAAATTATTCTCACAGCCACTCAGATGCTTCCAAATATCTGGAGGCAAGATCAATATTCAAGAAGCGAGACAAACTGTGTCGTGAAAATTATCATCCTATTAGTTTAACACCGATTGTTGTAAAATAAGGAAGTCCATAATAGTTAATATAATGTTTCTAATCTTATTATCCAATACAGTAATTCCAAAAGAACAGCATAGTTTCGTCCCTTGTGGTTCTGTTTGCAAACTTATTTTTATTGCAACGTGTCGTTTCATTTCTGTCACTCGAAGTCAAACACCTAGAGGACGTTAACTATTCAGATTTTGCCAAAAGACTTGAATTTAAACGTAAGCTTCATCATTTTGGCAATCGAGGAGATCTTCTATCATATCTCAAGGCTTTTCTTAGTGACAATTTTTAGTGTGCGGTTTGGAAACTTCTTTTCTAAATGGCAGTGTGCTTCAAGGATTTGTTTTGGGGCAAGTACTGTTTTTGGTGTTGGTTTTCTAACTGTGGGCCACATAAACTCACGAGTTTCTTTCTATTTGGATGAAGAAAAGCTCTATACAAGTCAATACGGATATATTAAGACCTTAACAACGTTCCAAGATGGTGCAAAAACTGGATGCTGCATTTAAACGAAAACATATGTGATTTGCTCCACCGCTCTACTACAATCATTTACTTTAATATTCAAGATTGCAGGCAGACAATTATTTCTATTAATTCGAGTGCAAACTGAATTGCTCACTTCTGTGATCAATGCGTCATCCGTAAAACGCTTTTAAAATCTGCTATGGAGCATTATAGCAGATCTTCTATATTTTTTCTTTCGTTCTCATATTCACTGCTAAGTTTTTACTTTTGTATTGTTATCATTTGTTGTCATTTGCATTTTGCTCAATACAGGCTGTTACAAATTCGCTTCTCACCACAGGGATCTCGGAAACGGTAAGAAGTACGAAGTAGCTTAAATGGGGGCAAAGTTGCGTAATCAAGGCACCAACATTATGCCTTTAAAAAATCAAGGCTAACATGATTAGTTTTCGAAACATTTGAAAAAAAAAACCGAAATTTTGGAAATTCGTTTTTGTTTTATTTCAACCTTGTTTGAGGTGATATTGAAAAAAGGAGAATACTTTCTCATGACCACTTTTTGCCCTCTATCGAATGGCATAATAAATTTTTATATGTAACGTCTCGTCTCTCCAAGACCATCATCAACTTCCATTTTTTTTAAATACGGCCCTAGAAATTACATTTTTTGCAAGCTTTCATGACCCCCAATACTGTACTGCCTCAGTCCGAACCAGATTCAGACGTTTTGTCTCGAAAAATTCATATTCAGTGTATTCGTTCCAAATTTATCTAAATTTTTTATTTAGATTTCTTTGTTTATTGAATTATCGTACACTGTGTGTCGTTAGACCCTGTGAAATCCATATAGTTATTTAAACTATTATCTACCATCACATATAAAAATTAAGAATACGAGGTTTTGGTCACCATTTGTGAATCACCCTGTATACTATAAGATATAGTTCGAAATTTAAGTATCAACAAAAGTTAACAAAATAATAATTTCATAAGGAAAGCGATTGTAGAAAATATTAACAGTTACCCTAGATGGAAATCGGTAAAAACCCGTTTCAAAAACGAAAATGACCTTCAAAATTTACCGAGATAACAGGCGCATATCTAAAATAGTCGAGGTTTTTAATAGACGCTATTTTTACTAATGGTAGTGAAGCATCAACTACTTCACATTTTAGTAATCCCACTAACTGCGTCATTGTACAATAACATGTACATGTCTGATATGAAGCTTAGCATCGATCAATTTATTCGAGACGTATCTAGTGGCACTCTAATGCCGGCCCTGTCGGCCTGGCGTGCCGGTGAACAATCAAGGTTTTTTGCTGAGAGACGTTGATCATACATTTCAGTATTGTTTGTTCGTGTGTGAGTGAGTTTGTTTCTTTACTTGGTCGAGTGTATGGCACATGTTTTTTTGGCAGTCAGTAGCCCTGTGAACATAGAGCGGTACACGGATTAGCCTATTTCTGCCACTACAACGCGTACTTCAGCGTAGTAGCATAACATAGATTACTACTGTTTATGTATTTGATAGTCGCCACAAAGTTTCCGATGTCTAATCATAAATTAAAAACAAGTATGTCTTCCATTTATAAATAAATATAAATCTGATTATCTGTAAAAAAAGATAAGAACATTTAAAAAGCCAATCTTACTGATTTATTAGTTTATCATGTTGTAAGTTTGTAGTTTTTACTTGAATTTAATTTATTTAGCACAATACATTAAACTTTTGGTCGAAAATGTCATTAAAATGAACCGTAACGCGAAAATAAATGTAGGCACAATTTTTGTCTGTCTAGAGAAATTCATTGATTTTTCGTTATCTTTAGCAGTTTCTGAGATCATGGATTACCATCGAAAATGAAACAGTCTGTACAATATTTTTCGTTGATTCTTGAAAAATTTGACTTTACGAGTAGTTTTGAAAATAGTGCCAAGTGACGTGCACAAAAACCATAAAACCCATAAAAGTATATACATATATAGAAGTATAAAATCTATACTAATGGGCCCCTTAAGGTGGCCATATTCCCGGCCGAGAAATAGTGAAATTTCTGGCGTTTTTAGGTACTGAAATCTTTAAAAGTAAAACGTGTAGAACAAAAGTAAGCACAAAAATAAAATCCTTGATGTTTTGTTTATTCATTGTTACCATNTTTGCTGTCAAATGTCAATTTTTCCAGTGGCGTAAAAGTTAGGGGGGAAAAGCCCTTACGATACCTTAAAATCTCCACCACTGGCACGTTCAATAAATTTGAGAAGGGTGTGAAAAAGTAGCCATTAATAGTGGTAATGCGTGTGCAAAAACTCAGTCCTGTAGTTCAAACGGTTCCTAAGATATTGCCAAAAAATTTGAAAAAAAATGAAAGTTTTGGCACCGTGTATCTCTAAAACGAAAGCCCGAAGAGAAAAATGGAAGAGGAAAAGAATGTTTCTTTTTTCAAGAGGAATTTACAGTTTTCCGTTGCGACACTTATTTAGGAACACCCTGTATAGTATATTTATAGAGTAGAAGGTAGTATTTATTTCAGGATGAGTTAGTGTCTGAAATATGTATGTAGATCCTTGAATTGAAGTCATAGAATTAAAAATAGAAAATTAAAAAAAAAAATAGTATAGACGAATACCCAGATCTATCACAATATCAAATCCTCAGATGTCTTCCAGTTTAAAATAAATATTTTCTGTAATCTGCATACATTAAAGAGAACTCCACCCATTCCCTAATTCTATGTTTGCGGTACAAAGTTGATTTCCTTGCATTTTTCACCTTAAGTAAATGCCACTTCCTTAAGTATGTACAGGGTGTCTCAAACTCGATAGTATGGGCCTACTGTGAGGACACAAAAAATTTAAATAAAATTTGGGACACGTGGTGTTAAATGGGAAGATGTAAGCTCCATTTTCAATAGAAAGTATTATCTTTGGGATTTGACAGAAACGACTAATGACGTCATGAATTATATTTTTACCAGGAACATTCTGTAGTATAACAACCCCAGGTTCGATCGAAAAAAAATAAATAAATATAAACGTAGCTGTGGCCAAAAATATGTGATCGTCATAAGGAATACCTACGTTGTATACATCTATTTTTAATTGACCGGAAGGCGCTGGTAACTTTAAAGAGGAGAAGTATGGTTTAATTTTATAAAACAAAAGCAGAATAAATACACCTAACTTTATTATTTATGTACAACAGTCTTCAAATTGAACATGTGACAAATAGAAAGAGCAACAAAAACATTAACAACCATTTAACATAAAATGAGAGTGCCAGGCTCACCTAGAGCTCCTGTGGGGAAAGAGCATGGCAGAGAAACCCACGATCGTTGCTCTAACCACCCAAATATAAATACAAAACAACCGCTAACCAAAGGCATA